CGCCCCCCCCCCCCACAAATTTGTCAACATTTATTTTGGGGGGGGGGGCTAAGGTGGTATAGACCCTCCATTTCTGAAAGTCCCTCCTAGCCCTTCCCCCATCAAATTCTTGGATCAACCGCCGATATAAAATACGAGCACATCTAAAATTAAAAAAAAGGAATTAGACTGCCCAAAAAAGAAACCGTTAAAAACATGTAGAATACGATGACAAACATGATTAACAAACGAGCATATCACAGAATTGATGACTGCCCAAAAAGAGCCACAGTCTCAGAAAGCCACTTGGCCTCATTGTTATGTTACGCCACTGTCAGAGAGTTCGCAATCAGTAGACTAGTAGGTCTACTCGATATATCGATTGATAATCTATTTCCACCACTCCTAATATAAATATCGATGCATCAGGCGGTTGGAATTGAATGATTATCTTAATGAGTCAAATATGCTGACCTATCAATCAATTTGATAATCACATCTAGATGTGTATAAGAGACCACTTATATAGCGCCCTTTTATGAATAATGCTAAAAATAATACTAAAAAACAAATGTAAACCACACTAAGACCATGCACTTTAGGCCTATGTCGAATATATCGGCTACACTTTTTTTTTTATAAGAACACATTTTATAAAAACACCGAGGCTGAAATTGCTTAAAAATAAGATGAAAATAAGAAGAGTTCAAATTTCGAATGCGGTTTTAATTTTTTTAAAATCAATAAAAACCAACAAAAATTTGTTTGCTCTTATAAAGTATAATGCATAATCCAAGTATTGAAATGCACACCATCGTGTTGGGATTTAATATTTCGACATTAATTATGTCATCATCAGGAAGCTTATATGCACTAGTTATACCAAAAGTGTTTAACCAATCAAAACACTACCTCTAGTAGGTGACATAGCAGTGATTTAAACAAAAGATCAAAGCATTCTTACTCACTGATCAAAGCTACCTACAAAAACAAAGAAAGCTCCTTTGAAGCTCTGAGCTCATTGTTAAGCAAAGGGTGTAGTCTACGTATTAGCAAACGCTTCTTTAAACAATAGGATAGACCAGTTTCGGGAGCTGTCAATAATGTTAGTACTAGAAAATTTTAAACATAATTTATTACTTACATTATAGACATTATCATTTTCTAGTATACCCTGTAAGCCCAATACATATTGGAATGCCTCACAGTTTTTAACATGTTTGCTCTTTTTTTTGTACCTTTACAATGCAGTAGGTATGACCCTTTATAATACAGTACAGTAATAATCTGTACAATAATAATAATAACAAACAAAAAAATAAGAACATCTTGGGCTTGAAATTTGCAACAAAAAAAAAAGAACACTGAGCATGGGCAAAATTGAAGAAAAAAAAAATAAACGTAATCGGATTGGAACTGTGGACTGTTGGTTACGATTCCCGCCTTTTTAATCTCAGGCCATTCTATCAAAAATGTCACGATTTGATTCGCAAACAAACGGCAACAAATGAATGCTATTTCTCAAGACGTTAAACTTTGTCAAGCCATGAGAAATTTTAGAATTTAGCTGAAGGCATATCTTGCCAACAAATCTTATTAAATGTATGCACTTTTTTATACTTAGGCCGTCGTGAGAAATATTAAACATGTTTAATATTCTACGACGCGACTGCCCCCGACGCACACCATCGCGTCTGCGTTTAACTCACACAGACCCAACGCGACAACAAATCGGGTCGGGCTGTGACGCTGTCTGAGTTGGCCTTTAGACACAGAAAGAGGCTATTATAAATTTAGGTCCTAGAAAAACACATATCCCGTCCGATTCTATATGATTTCATCTATTATATATATAGATTCATACGTAAACCTCTTTACTTATCTATGGCACTATATACAATTCATTAAATATAATAGCTACTGATTAAATGACCATCAAGTACAAACGAGAAAAGACGGTCTTCTCCTCAAGATTAATATTGTATTCAGCGAGGCTACTCAATTACTCTGTGATGTTAAGACAATGGAGTAAATAGCTTCAAGAAACTTTGAGTGAAAGCAAATGATTAATGTTAAAGTGTGCCGTGAATAAAAACATAAAAACAATATTCACTTCAACTACCTTAGGTAAAAGGTTACGGTTATTCTATGCCAGCTGCCACGTATAAACTATCATTAATATTTGTTACTGAAATAAAAATAATAATATGAAAGATTTATGAATAAATTTGAATTATATTTATAACATAAAACTATCCTCGAACGTGAATAAATTTGTAAAGGTTATTCTGCCAGGATAAAGACCACCGTGCAGCAAGAGGAATCACCAAGTGTGAAGAAAACGTTGACCTAACCCGGATTAGAACCTGGGACCTTCTGCTGACAGACGCCTCAACCAAACTGGTCCATTGGGTCTTTTTGTAGGAAATTCAATTCCGATTGGAATAAACTGATGTTTCACTCTTGCACATGCATGGAACAACGCTAGTTCTCGACGCATTGCAATTAACATAGGTCCATATGATACGCCTACATTTCTTTTTTAATATACATATTATTTTATGCCTACATTATTTAAGTCAACTGTTCCACCAAGACCAGACCCGACTTTTATCTTCAGTAACATCGCCTCCAAACCATTCGGTTGAAAAGTGTCCAGTAAATGGAGACCGGTACATTTTTCAAGCTAAATTTTAAACCCTTCCCTTTTTTAACCTTTTATTCTTGAAATTTGTATTGGAGATGAAATATATCATTTATTTATGTGGTTTTATCAATATTATTGTCACTTTAACTTTTCAAATTGTGAGCAAGTAATCTTAAATTACCTCCTTGGCGTCTTACTAAACACCACGAACCACACGGGACGCAAACATGTATAAAAACTTACCATGCTTGCTCAAAAATCAATAACATCAAATTTTTATGAAATATGTCCGAATTCCGGTTTAAATCGAATATTTTTTTACAGGTATCACCATCGGGTTTAAGAACGTGTTGCCATCGCGTAGTTTAACTGACAGGGGACCGTCACCCTCACACACTGCTGCTCAATACTAATAATACTATTAATGTATTAATATTATTATTATTATTAATTATTATTATTATTATTATTATTATTATGGTCTATCAATGAGAGAAAACATAAAGAGTTCAAAAAAGAATAATAAATTTAATATTTTATATTTTATTCTCAACCAAACTTCATAACAAGTGTGTAAGGTGAGGTTGATTGCGTTCCTTGCAGACGTCAATACGGACGTGATAGATATAATACACGATGTCAACACAATGATTCCTGAAACCAGGAAACAGTCTGAAACACGGCGGCAAAAAAAAATAAAATAAAAAAATTCCCGAATAATGCCGCGGCGCTTTAACAAGTTTTGGAGGCTTTAGTGCGGCGCTTATTCGAGAGCGGCGCTTATAAAAAAAATATTGGCGTGGCGCTTTCCATGCCGTTCCCATGTATTTCACGTATTCCTGTAATTCAGTAGGCCTAAACATAGGTCCTACGTCATCGCAAAAAAAAAAAAAAAACGGTGTCTCAAAGTGATTCATTACATACAGATGTTATATCCTCTCGACGCCGCGCGGCTAAAAAAAAAGAAAAAAAAATCACGTTTGGTGCGGCACTTATTCGAGAGCGATGAATATTTCTATGGTCTTCAGCAGCTTTGGTCTCCAATTAGAATAAGTAAAGGTAAAAAAAGTTGTTCATTTGGGAAAAAAGTGGTATTTAATTGGAGGGGTCTATAATAATTAGAGGGAGATATGTATTTATGAATTATTGAAAAAGCATACGTGTGATTTCGTTTGGTTTTGTGTTTGGTTGTGTTGTCTTGCACAACACATTTTTTAGCCTCCCATGACCAAGACAGGGTAAGGTCTGGATGAGCTCTGACCCAGGGCTGTGGCTTCCCGATGGAACCATGACTGCCACGTCCCCACAGGCACAACCTCTGTCATAGATGTTAATAAGGAGTAGTAAACCGACTATATTCTTAGTGCAAACTGAATACTCTACTGTATACTATAATTTCAAATTTCACACAAGAAAATTACTAATAAACAACTCGTTATAAAATCAGTTTTACAATCATATTCAACAAGTCAATAACACATACATATTCAATTGACTAGAATAACAAATATTGCAATATAAAATTTGTATAATACTGTATTCTAGTTTTGATGGAGCAATATTAAATAAATAGCATAATACTTAATTCTATTCGGAAATGTATTTCATGTAACAGCAGCTAAAACCGTTATGCATTGATTCTGACGAAAAACTAAAGAAACTACAGTAGTTATGTGCTAACATAAATACTAAACAATGATTAAATATTTTTCAAAAATTAAAAAGGACAGTCATGGTACAGTTAACATGCTTATTAGAAAAAAAAAAAGAATTAATCAACGAAGAAGTTCTGTTTTCCTTATCTCGGTTCTATATCCAGCACATTATATTTATAAAAAAAAAAACTGTTGTATGCCCAAATATAGCCATGATGTGCCTCTATATGGTCACGATGTGATGTAATTATGACCATATCATGGCATGTCACAACAAGGCTTTATATAGGATTCACTAGATTTGTGCAAGAATGGAAATGTGTGAGCATAGTATTACCTAGTGCATTACAAACTTACTGCCTAGAATAATTTTTGAGTATAGCTTGACATAACATCTACCACGTATCAATACAATTACAGAATATATCCTCATATAATATAATATTTATTTCAAATATTTGGATAGATTGCATTGATCTGCATATATTAAATTCAAATATCAAAAAAGATATATCAAATTTTTAAATAATTTAAAATCATGATACATTCATCATACTCTTAACTAGTGTGCAGTTCAATTCTTAAACTCTGTCCAGATTACCAATTTACAAAAAACAAAACCACTGTTGTATGCCCATATATAGTAATGATGCACCTATATATGGTCATGATGTGATGTCATCATGACCATATTTAGGCATGTCACATGTTTTTGTCAAATACAAATTTTATAGTCTGGACAGGGCTTAAAAATATCTATTACAAAATTAAACAATAGTACTGTATTTAATTAATTACGTTTCTAAAATAATGTATTGAAAAAAAGTTAGTTTTATTTTTCCTTCTTTGCTTTGATTTAAGTTATCTTATGATTGTTTTGTACAGTTTACATATGTTCAACTGTATTTTATAATGATGCAGTATTCAATGTACTTAAATACAGTCATGGCTGTCCAATGTTGAGTGTGACTCGACTACAATGTACTGGAAAGTATAAACAGTGGTGTTACAAACGGGCTTGAGGCCCTTGGCTATACTATAATTAACTAAAGCTGGGACGGATGCCAGGGTGGTGGGGGTGCAACCGCACACCCTTATATAGCATTAAGAAAAATAACTGTTGTATTGTATTGTATTGTTGATATATTATTTATATCATGAATTATAGTACCAGTAAGATTTAAAAAGTATGAGAATGCAATTTCCGGGTACCTTGTGGTCCATTAATCTCAAAAATGTTCTCATCTCAACCCCAACAATGGTGGGTCAGTATTATATGCATTATAATTTGGTGACTCAAGTATGAAGAAACAACTAAAGGCAATACTATAGAATTTACTTGTGATGTGATGTCATTTTATATATTTACTATGATGTTATAAAAGAACTATTGCAATGTAGTAATGAAATGTAAACAAATAAGTTGTTGGAATAGTAATGGAATGTTTTACAATCATGAATACTATAAAATAGTATTGGTATGCAGCTTAAATGCTTGCATTTTTGACTGAAACAGAGTGGATCTGTTCACAGCCTGTCAACAATGCAACATGGGTGTCTAAGCATGGCTGGCCGAGATTGGTCAACCCATGGTTTAAACTCCCAACTGCTGCACCAAACCCCATTGTTTTTAAAATTTTAGATGTAATCGCTTTACATAAAAATATTACATTATTCATTCTATCATACTAATTATATTATTATTATACTATATTATATTCAATATAAATTAATATATTATTAAAATACTATTCATTAAAATTAAATAGCACCTGATCACATATGAATTTCAATTCAGTCATTCTATATAGAAAAACTTAAAATAAAACTGTTCAATTTGGTTATGCTCATGTAAAACTATGAATCCCTTTCCTTGTATTAAAAATGCTAATTTAGATCGGACTTCGTATAATTGTGAAGATCCTTGTATGATAAATATATTATATATTCTAACTTTCTGAAATCATGTCTCTTTCCGAGACGAAACATGTGAAGGGCATTATTGATTTTGGCTATTTAATTTTCATTATTGATTCAACTAATATAATTTCTCAACACATATTATTCAGACAGTGACATCTTAATCAATAATTCATCTCCTTCCAATGCAAAATCAACCTCATCCTCCAAATAAAAATTGTTGCCCTGCCAAGGTGAGACGATGTCGCATCTTAGGAATTGTCTCGTAATAATTATTTATGAGATTATTGCGAATCACCAAGGGCACTTGAAATATTACACGTCCAGCTTCTTGGTATAAAAAAGTCCCAATAGGATTCCTATCAAAGAAAAGAAATAAATAATAAAAGAAAAGTAACAATTTCTTGGTAACTTATTTTACATTTACTTTTTTATACAGAATACAAAATATGTTTGTTCAAAAATGTTTCCAAATCAAATACGAACAACATGCAGAAAAAGTCAACTACAGTAATGTGCTTTCTAGTTGCCAAACCTTTGAACAAATTTAGACATCAGTTTGAAATGCAATTTGTTATTTTGGTTCACAGCCAAAAAAAGAACACACAATTAATACAGGTCACCATCCAATTCGAAACCACTTGACCTGAACATTTGGGGTGTCTCAGGGTTCATTCAATTAGGGAGTTAGCTTTGTATGATTGACGATTGTTATTTGGTTCTTTAAAAAAATGGTTTCAAATTAGAAGGCATCTCAGAAAGAGGTCTCTCGAATTTGAAGGTGCACTGTATAAATAAAATAATTTAAAAAGTAAATACAAATGCTATTCAACTTACTATTGTTCGAGGGCAGTTGATCCTTGCAAACCACTCTTGGCTGTACAGACACATTAACACTCCACTCCCAATGAACAAGGACACCCACACAAATACATTCCATGGTTGGGATGAGCTCTTGGCTGGCAAAAACGTGAAGCTTACTAGAATAAGGGGGAAAACCGCACACACAGAAAATATTATTTATGTAATAATTAACTACAATCTCACAGATATAAGAAATGAATTTTTGTTTACATATGTGTAAATTCAGATTTAAAAAAAATTTTTTTTTTCCTCAATCTTTTTTCACTTGAAAAGCTCAGAATTTCTTCCTGATATTTTCACTGATACAATAAAAACATATTTTTTAAATATAAATTTGATTCCATTCTTATGACTTTTTATATACGTGTCCCTATTAAACCTTTAATTTACTTGTGAACATCAGTAAAATTGGGGCGGGGTTAGTAAAAAAATAAAAAACAAAAAACCTCCCTTTCTCATCAGTTTTTATTCTTTGATAGTGTCATAAACTAATAATTTTTTTTAGGGGACCTTATATCACAATGTTTGCTAAAAGGGTAAGGGGTAAAGGGTAAAGGGTGCTGGCGATTTTGTTACCAATTACCTCTGGTCATTGAATCTATATTGGCAAACAAGATCTTAGTGCAACCTTCTTCACTCCCTAGGAAGTATACCTTGATGTACAATTTAATATACACAGAGCGATACATTCAATGCCACAAATTGAGGGTACAGCTTTCAAATACTTGCGGGCAAAGAAAGGCAATGCAAATGTAAAGTGCACGGACATCCTTCACAGCAAAGGTTCAAAGACGCAACCTCAAGGTTTAGAACCTGCTGAGAGCACACTCTCCTCCCCTCCAAAAAAGCTTGCTCCCTCAGTCGTTCCCCCACCCTCACATTGAAAATGTTCAAGGCAAAAAAAATTCATGCTCACATAGTTAAAAATAACATATCACCTTAATATCTGTAAGGTAACATCCCTCAGTTAATTAGCAAGCTCCCCAACTTGCCCTTCCTTCTCCCCTGAAGCTCACCCCCTCCCCCAGATTCAAATCTCCTAGAGACACCACTGGATCACATCATGCAAATATTTTGTCCTGTCTTCAGGACTTTCTCAACATGAGTGAGAAACATTACTAGGTAGTTAGTGATCAAATATACAATGAGCAATGTAATAATAAGAAAATGCAGGACGTATTAATTATTGGTAAACGAATAACCGCCAACAAAGCCTAGATATTCGTTAAGTCCTTTCAATATGTGATTTAATGTGAAGGATTAAATTTACCTCCGTACAGCATCTATTTTATTTGTTAATTTACAGCTGGAGCCTAAGATGATTAGAAACCAAGTGACACGATTAGGTAAAATGATCAGGCACAGGAAATCCTTTAGTATTATTCCAAATTTACCATCTTATATTTTTTTAGTTGTAAGCTCAGTATAGGCTCATTTCGCCAACTAACTTCTCATCTCAGATTTACTGCAGTAAATCATAATAAAGAAATTCAGAATGATTACAATGTAGGTCAGAGGTACAGATTCAAGACATTTGTCTTGGTCTTAATCATGTGTTTGTGAAGCTAATTCAGAAGACTGGCAATAAATAATGGGTGGATATCAATAGCAATTTTGATTTGGTGCTAGAAAGTAAATGTTTTGTCCCCTCTTTTTTTTCCTTCCTTTGTCCTCTTCTCCGTGTAATCTGTTTGACTCTGTCCCTTCCCTTGTCATTTACTAATGTTATCCCAGTGAGTTTCTTAAATGTTTTCCTTTTATCAATTGCTGTAATGTTTTTATGTGTTTAATGTGATTTTGAATACTACACATAATGGAAAATATCTGGACTGCTAGCATTGAAAGTTTTTGAAAGGAAAATAAACAATGAGCTGATATTATCCACTTGTAGGTATGGTCTTAATCCAACCCATCATTTACCTGTCCAACAAATGCAAGTTTTAAATTCAGAATGACTCCCCACCCTCCCGAAAAAAGAGATAAAATTAATTCCAACGCAAAAGCTACAATATAAATGCATACTGTGTATCCATATAAATCCAGAATTATTATTATTATTATTATTATTATTACTATTATTATAATCATCATCCAAACTATTGCTTGATTTAGTACAAGGAAAAAAGAGAAGGCAGACAGGAAAGCTTTTCTGATTGTGGTGTAAATCAATTGGAAACTTGCAATTATAGTATTGTCATGTAAGATACCCATGTGTATTTTTCAGATAATCAATGGAATTAAAAAATACACTGGATAATAAAATATAAATCATTGATTGGACTACAATTTGGTATATTTTATTTTCAATTTCCAAATCAAGTTATTATGTACAATTACTTTTTTCGAGACTTTGATTTGTGAATGAAAAAATAATAAAAATGTTTTATATCTTATTTATCTACTTTAATTATATATTTTTAAATTATTTTATTTATAAGTACAATTACTTTTTTTTAGAGATTTTGATTTGTGAATGGAAAAATAATAAAAATGTTTTATATCTTATTTATCTACTTTAATTATATATTTTTAAATTATTTTATTTATAAGTACAATTACTTTTTTTTTAGAGATTTTGTTTTGTGAATGGAAAAATAATAAAAATGTTTTTTATCTTATTTATCTATTTTAATTATAGTTTTTTTCAATTATTTTATTATAACATATCTTGATTAAAATATTTTTTGGATATCTATAAAGTCCTGTCCAGACTATCAAATTCTATTTGACAAAAACATGTGACATGCCCAAATATGGTCATCATGACATCACATCATGACCAGCACCTACCATTGTAGATATTTTATTTCTATTTAAAAGGGAACTAGAAAGATATTTTTTTCTAGAGGGGATTTTTGATATGTCATTAATATTAGAATCAACTTAAAAATCGTTACTTTGGCAATTTTTTATGTAGTTATTACGATTTACCCCTTTAGCAACGTAACGTCAGTGTAAGGTACTCTAACCAAAAACTGTATAGCACAGTGCACCAAAAAATGCTTTTAAAATTGATTCTATTGCTGGTGATTCTAGAAAAAAAAAATCATCTTTCTAGTTCCCTTATAAGTTTTTAGAGCTCTATTTACACTAAAACAATTTATGTGACAAACATCCGCGATTTGCCTATATATGGGCATAATGATGTCAACACCACGTAAAATTCGAACAACCTTTTCTATTCAAGATTTTAAGTCAGAGCTTAAGACCTTTTTATTTAATTCTTATTTTCTTGAATAGATTGTTTTCGCATTTTTTAAAATTTCACCTGGTTTCCTTTCTTGAGTCTAGGGAGCTTTCGACAGCACGACGACGGTAGGACGTAGAACGTAAAAACGTCACTAAATGTCATCTGCGCATGCAAGAACGTTAAGGTCACCTCGTCGAGTAGATTCTGGAACACAATTTGGCCAAATCTACGCATGCACAGAATGTAGGACGCCAGGTAGGACGGTCACGCGTGAGTGATTACATCCTAGCCTTGCATCGTCGCACAAATTGAAAGCTCCCTAATGTCGTTGCCCGGTGGTGCATGGTAGCTGAGCCTGAGGCACAGGTCATAGGTGAAAACTATTGGAGCCCAGCATACCGCCATGTGGAGTATCTGCATATCCACATAGAAAGAGCAAAATTTCAAGTTTCAATTCTGAAGTTTTCATGAACTCGTGTTTTTTTTAGCAAATGGCTTTCAAAGCAGTCTTTTAAAAATCTTATAGTGAAATAAGTGCCCTGACCTTACTCTTTAGGTGGATTATGTGCTATATAAGTATTCATATCATTATATTATTATTATTATTTTTATCATCATCATCATCACACCCAGATATGCTATATAAAGCATATGCATGATGATAAAATACTGATACATCAATATAATTTCTCTTCAAAAACCAGGAATAGAATCTCACAAATGTCAAAGGCATCTATCTACTACAGCACCCATCACCTCCTCCTATTATATTTCATTTCATTTATTCATCTCATAAAAAATAACAAAATCAATACAATCAAAAACGCCTCATAAAGTCACTAATAATAGAACCTGGGGTTAAAAAAAAGGCAAATGAAAATATATTTTATAGGAAAAACATAACCTGAAGTCAAAGAAAGACTTTTTAATCTCTTAATGAAGGAATTCAAGTGGTAGGTTATTAGAACTTTAGCCTGAAAGAACTCCATAGGTAAAGAATTTCCTGGAATGTGGACTTAAATTTGTAACGTTGGACACTCTACAATCTTACATATATAAAATGAAACCACATTTTAAAAACAGGAATATCTATTGTAAATTTGACAGACTGATTATAACATTAATTTAATATTATATGTAAGATTTATTTATTTTATGTAACCAACAAACAATATCTATATAGGTCATTTTGAAATTTATTTAGATATTAAATCTAAATATATTTTAGTACCAACTTTTGTTTGTCTATTTTAATTTTAAGTAAATTATTCCTTCCCACTTTCACTTAATGTGTTTTGTTGGAAGTTGTTTCATTTTGGATTCAGTTTTGAGATGATCAATTACTTTGTTTATAAATAGTAGATTAATTACCGTAGATGTACTTATTAATTTTTCAATTACTTTGCCATTTTTTATTTTTTCAAATTATTTTTCTGTTGTTTACTAATCTTTTTTCCAGATTTGCCTTTTGTTTTGCTAGTTTATGGAGTTTCTTTGAATTCTTGATTAGTTTTGCTATTTAGTTAAATTATTGTATTTATATACTGTACTATCTGTTCTATTTCCCAAGACTGGGTTGGTAGGCTTTTCGACTAGTGTTCATCACTATTATTAGGCAATATTGTAAAATTTTTTGCTTGCCCAATTTTCATTGTTTTTGTTTCCAGAGTTTCAATATTTGGTATATGCTGCCCTCTGCAGTTGGATTTTTAAAGTCATTGACTTTCTAGTCATTTTTTTTTCCAAATTTCCTTTCATATTTTTTATATTTGACACGTTGATCTAAAAAATCCTTTGCTGACAATAAATAATCACAGTGTCGAAATAATTGAAATGCAAGCAAACTTTGCACACATTCATGTTAGGACATACAATTGTCCCATTTTAGTCTTTAAAACTATACATTGTCAAATACTACTCTATATAGATTATGGTAGTTGATAAGGATAATGTGCAAAACATCAAATAAAAAAAACTTCACAAAATTGCAATCAAAACCTACATCAGCAAAAGTTCAATGGTAGTATTTAATTTATATTAAATTCAAGAGTATGTACCTAATTATTCTACTTTTTAAACCTATTATTTCCCTAACACCGTTCATGATTATCGCAAACTGCTATCGTATGCATGGCATGTCATTTTCCAACTCTTATAACCATTGATTTTTAACAACCATAGTACGAAACCTGCCGCAAATTGAGCAGCTACAGTGATTGCAGATTGATCCATACGAGCAATGTTCATGGCCTTTACTGATGTAAAGGACATAAGACATTATTTCTTCAAGTCAAGAGTATGTACCTAATTATTCCACTTTTTAAACCTATTATTTCCCTAACACCGTTCATGATTATCGCAAACTGCTATCATATGCATGGCATGTCATTCTCCAACTCATATAACCACTGATTTTTAACAACCATAGTACGAAATCTGTCGCAAATTGAGCAGCTACAGTGATTGCAGATTGATCCATACGAGCAATGTTCATGGCCTTTACTGATGTAAAGGACGTAAGACATTATTTCTTCAAGTCCCTATATAACACCCAAATGAATCAAAATTTAAACGGAATAATCACAAATTATGGGTTTCAGAAATCCATTATATAAGGCCCTCAAAATGCTAATTTGTTGGAGTTTCCAAGGGTTCCCCCATGCCACTACTCCACCAGAGATTCTGGGTGGCCCCTCAGCATAAGGCTTGCTTAGTTCGCAAAACGCACTCTCCGTCAAAATCTTGCCTACAGGCCTGAAGGGCCAGTGATTGGTTGATAGTTTATAAATGGTAATGAGATATAATGGATGAAATATATGTTTGTTCAGCGCTACAAAGGAGGTAGAAAATCACACTATTATTAAAAAGGTCAAGCTATATGTTGGTACATGCTTTGTATTTATGATTTTACCCAATACCTGTCTAAAAACAGATTTCACTTTGTTGAGACAATAAATATCTTGTGTTGAATAATTGTTGTGCAATAGAATACTATGTCTTTAGTCTTTAGTCTTGATAATCCCTTTGCAGCTGATACTCAGCTAAACTGTGCAGGGTTGGACATGATCTACTTTGATGCACTACTTTTTCAGACACTCTTTTGTGGCTAACAAAGTTTAAACCGGCGGGAAAAGGTGACAGGAAATTGAAAAGAGAAGTTAACAATGCAACGGAACCGGAAATAAACTCTTGAAAAACTGTACTTTCCATTTTGTCATGTTGTTTACAAAAATTTACACTGTTAAGTAATATCATCTATCATTTTGATACTATCCACAATGCAAACTGATTGATATTAATTGATATTTAAAGATTATTTTTTATTAATTTTTCTTTTAAACCATATTTATAGAGTGACCCTTCCAGCATTGTTTGGCAAATAATCAAGGGCCCTCTTAAATAAATGAAATAATGTGATATTTCATCTGCAAAGTCTCATTAAGAGGATTAGGGAGTGGGAATCGTGAGAAAAATCATATGCTCTCACAGGATTTGAACCCTGGAACCTGGGATTGGAAGCCAAGCAGCTTAAACACAATGCTACAACTCCACTCTAATGAATATTCCTTTCACTAGATTTTAATCTGTGAATTCATATAGCATTACGATACATTACTTTAGTGATGAACTGGAATAGTATTTAAGACACTGTATTAATTAATTTGATATTTTATTGACTGCTTTTAAACAAGTGGCACTAATTGGGGTTTTTTATGCTACTAAAATAAAAAAATAGTATGGTAGCATATTTAAATAAAATAAAAATATTAATTTAAAAAATAGGAATTATTGTTCTGTCCACAATACCGTATAGTTTTAACTCATAAAAAAAACTGTGATTTGCACATGGGTGTGATGTCATCATAATGTCCATATATGGGTAAATCACAGATATTTGTGACAGAAAACATCATAAGTGTGGACACCACATATGATCCATTATGAGACTATCAGTAAAGCTACATTTAGACATGAGAAAAAAGATGTTTAAAGGATTCGAACCTACAACCCTGAGACTGGAAGCTGAGCACCTTAACCATCAAGTTATTATTTATTTTATTTATATATAAAATATATGACACAAGAAATAGTGTTCAAGAGGAGAACATAGGCCAAAGGGACAACACAAAAAGTGGGTACCTCTTCGAAAAACAAATTACATTAAAATATAAAAAGCTACTAAAATATAATATAACCATGTAAATATTTGGTGTATCATGTGTTAGATTGTCCACTACCTCAACTGGGTAAACCAAATCATGATAAACAACATGTTGGCAGCATACCTGACTCACTGCAGAATAATACCTGATAAACAATAAATTAAAAAAACCACAATTCCCTATGGGAACATATCTCCTGTTAAATTCACATGGTTGGGACATTCCCTCCAAATCACCTACCAAGAATTAAGGAAGTAAAATTGAAAATTAAGCTACCAAAAAAAAAAACCAAGAAACAAAAAACAAACAACGTAGATAAAGGATGTTTTCTTTTGGATACCGCTGGGAATATTATGACGTGGAAATAAAAAGTAAAATATAAATCATGGGACAAGTAAATTTTACTAATGTTAATAATACATTTTATATGACCGCATGGAAGTTATTCTATATAAATATGCATATACATTTATAAATTTACATTTATTTATTCTATATACATTTTATATGGTTTTATACTCAACATTGTCAACCCCACAGATCTGCAAATGTTATGTAATCAATTTATAGGAAATGTATGATATGTAAATAAATTTGATATATGAATGAATATTTCAACAGCTAATAATATTGAAAGTAACATTTTTTTTTAATAACTAAATTTTGATGGTAAAGTTAACAAGTTTTCATTTGTTAACTCCTATGTAAACCAACAAAAGATACCATTTTAGCATCTGAATTTATGATCAATTTGTTTATGTCTGTTTTAATGTTTAATCTTGATTATGTGCTTTTATTATAATAGCACATAATCAAGATTAAACATTAAAAAAGACATAAACAAATTGATCATGTCTTCTTGTGTGCCTTCCATTTTTGTATTTTTTTAATTCAAATTTTTAATTTTACCTAGTTGTTTGACAATAAAATTACTTTGAAGGTTGAGCCTAGCTATTAAACTCAATCAATAAGCTTCAATATTTTAATTGCTTTAAAAAATGGTTTAACATTCTACTGTGCATTTCACTTGTGTTCTTGGTCAAGGCACTTCACCTATATTTATGTCTCACCTTCCCAGGGGTACAAATAAGTGCCTTACAGAATGTTGAGGCACTTGTATTCTGTGTGTATGAGGCAAACTAGATGTACACCCCAGGGAGTGGGGAATTCAACATTGTACCGGTTTGTCAATTGGATAAAATGACCTGGGGTACTGCCAGTGCCTTGTGTCCTTAGTACAAAGTACAACTTACCTCCAACTCCACCAAACATGAAAAATAATACTGGATAGAAGAAATTGAGGGACACTGCCAGAATAAATTCATGAATAAATGCAGATATTACGAACACGGCCATCATCGAAGCGAACTTGCTAAAACCCAAAATCTAGAGATTAAGAAATATATTTTTGGTTAATAAATAAATATATTAAATATAAAGCATCTGAATTTAAATAATAAAAATGCAGGTTTTCATCCAATTTTTTGGGACTGTGGTTTTAATGGTCTTTAGCCTCTAATTAGAATAATAGATTTGTTAATATGGGACCACAGAAAAGTGGTCTTTAATTGGAAGTAGTGTTTCACGGGAGGAGTCTCTAATTAGAGGGACACCTGAATTATTAAAATAATATTATTAATCCCAGTGGGGGGAGTCCCAGAGGAGGGAGGTTTTTAGCCCCAGTGGAGGTGTAGAGTCCCAGCTGGAGGTTAAAGTTACCTGCAGATCTCGATAGATATATGTGAAAAGCCAATCATGAACCACGATGTTCCAAGTCCGGTAGTAATTTGAATACGTTTTCACATTCCACCAATCCTGAGTGAAGATCAATGTAGATCATTATATTACTTATAATATTAATGACAATATTAATAAAATCAATGTATTTAAACAATAACAGCTATAGTATGATGTCATATCACATCCATATTTGGGCATGATGTCATATGATACTCATATTCGGCCAAACTACATGTATTTACCACATCTTTAGACACTAACCTTGTAGAACTGTCTGTCAGCAAAACGCATCATCTCAGCAAAGGCATTCAACCACGAATGGAGTATTGCAAAAAACCCCAGAACAAGGACAAGCGTTGCAGGAAGCATGACACTAAAGGAGGCTAGTGTCAAGTTGTGAAACGTCAAATCTTCTTTGCCAAAATTCTTAAAGACTGGGACGCAAAACCTTACAAACACATAGTAGGTAAAAAACAGACAGGCGAGCACCTAGAGTGAAAATCAAAAATTAAATGAAATAAAATTAACAATTATATTTTAGAAGTATTGGTGTAAACAGCTATACTACAAAATACAAATGGATCTTCCCACTATGCCCTGAGTGGACACTCAAGGACACTCAGGTTCCCCCTCCTGAAAATAAAGACAACTAACAAAACATCATGGTATTTGAGCATAAGAATACAAGCTAACTCGTACCCATGCCAACTCATACCCATAACTTGTGCCCAAATTTTGGCTGACTCATACCTACAATTTTTGCTGGCTCATACCCATATTTGGCCAGTCCGTACCAAAGTTTAGTGCAAGATCTAAGATATTTTTTTTCAAACATTATGCAAAGATTATTATCTATTTTGATAGTAATCATGTTTATTATTAAAGCCAAACTTACTATAGAAGTTTTTGATACAGCAAAAATGAAATTTTAAAATTCATTATCGTTGTTAAAACTTTAACGAGGGGGTGCTATTACAGTAGTAGTGAGTAGGGTCAATGCCGTAGACAGGTACTTAAGTTTAGTACCATTCATGTGAAATTTCACGATTTCAACAATTACATTTTGTTTTGGTAGACAGTTGTAGCACAAAATGTAGTAAGAAGTATTTAATATTAGACTTTGTTTTATTATCACACCAAAGTAAATGACACATACGTTTACTTTGGTGTGATAATAAAACAAAATCTAATATTAAATACTTCTTACTACATTTTATTATCACACCAAAGTAAACGTATGAATACACATGGGTATGAGTTAGCCAATTTTGAGCACAAATTTGGTACAGTGGATAGGAGCTGGCATGGGTACGAGTTGGTATGAGTACCAGTTAGCCGACACTGGACTATAATAAACGGAATCCCAATGTGATTCTTTACATCAAAAAAACATCGGGAAAAAATTGTGTGTGTTATGATGCAATACAATGTTCAAGTAATTTTTAAGCCAACAATTGCTAGTTAGTCCTAAAGATAGAGAGGAAAATTTTCATTAAATTAATACACAAGAGGGAGGAAGCCCACTGACAGGAACTGTTCTGACCAGGCCCGTAGCCAGGTTCTTCCAAGGGGGATTGTCTGGAGAAAAAGAAAAGGGGGTTTCGTCCGAACCATTAAACCCTCCTGGCTACGGGTCTGTTGACGTCCCAAAATCAGATGAAGTCAGCATGAACAAGACCACAGAAGCGGTTGAAACTCGCTAGGAAGTTCTTCAAAGTTATCCAGTCTTTAAAACTTAAAAGTTTATATTACACAATTTTAACTGCTTCCTTTTTAATTTTGTTCATCTTTTTACAAGAATGAAATTGCAATTTCAATGTTTAGTTTTGTTAACAATGACCATAGAGCAAAGAAACAGTTTCTTTGCTCTATGCAATGACAAAGCAAAAATGTAACAGTTGAAACATTTGCGCAATATTTTGGCACCATTTCAAATAAGAAAACAAACATTATATTGTACACGTAGTTAAAACATAAAAGATACCTAAATTGTCTTGTTAACCTTTTTGAAGAGGATATTTTCTAAGTAAATAAATCTTATTATACAAACCACTTCCCTTTACCACAACTATTCAGAAATGTCATGTAGAGTTCAGTGTACTGACACAAATACTTTCTATGCTCGCAGTTATACAGTAGCTCCACCCTAAACTCAGTTTCAGCAATTTAGATTTCAATTCAATTCAAAATGACATTTATTCATTGATAGAAATACAATAAAGGAATACAGTACAATACAAATAATACAACAACGTGTACAACAGGTCTTACTTTAATAGCTAACTTTATTTCTCAAATTCTTTTACTGCATGAAATTTATTGTTATTAATATATTTCATTATATTTTGTCTTAGGACCACAATGAAAATAAGTTTTAAATTGTTTTTTTTTTTTTTAACTTTTTGTGTTATCCTTGTTATATGCATCACATGTCTGTCTGTTTTGTAAGGCAAAATTATCAACATTTTTAATTTTATAGATATTTTGAAATAATTCAAAACAAATCAAAGAACTTTAGCAAAATGGTTCTGCCAAGAAACAAGATAAAATGTATTGTCTTCAATAGAAACGAAGAAATTACAAAGCTCGCAAAAAATACAATTCAAAGAAAATCACATTAAAATTGATCAAGGGTAAAAAGTATCAACTTCAAAATTCCATAAAAATCAACTGAAAAAAAGCACAATAATAATTAAAATTACAGAAGGCCTGCAATATTTGAAGATAATGAAAAAAAAATTAGAAGACAACAAAGAAGGGTTACACATTTCATGAGGAAACTTCACCATTTACCAAATTTTCAATTTTTGAACCAGGTTTTGCAGATCTCTTCTTATCTCTATTAATTACGGCTTCAGGGAATTTAGTAACAAGATTAACAGTGAAGCTCATTAGTTGTGAATAGTTCATAAGAAGACTAGCACAATTAAATCAAAAACCATGTTGTAACTTCTAACATAAGTCATTGATTTTTAAAATTCAAAAGCATATCTATTATGATTTTTATCTGAAATTATAGCTAAGGTAATAAAAATGCCAAATTTTTTTGAACAAAAGGTTTTTAAAATTTTCCAGCCTGGTTTTTAAATACTATACTGGTAATTTATTGAGAAACAGCAATGCCTGCTGTGATAATGACTCTAAGTAGAGGTATTCTTCTTTGATGATTAATTGGATTATTGAGATAAGATTCTGGCAAAACCTGGTTCACCAACCCGCCTGAATGCCCTTTTAAATGGTTTGCTGGTAAATGGGATAGTAACAGCATGTGAAAAAAAAAAAGTATCTACTCTGTAGCGTAAACATAAATACATTTATTACCAATAATAAATTTGAAAAAAACTTTCCGAAACAGAAGTATACCGCTTATGAATACTAAAAAAATGGGTGGGTGATCTAGCTTATTTAATATGAAGCAAACATTGAATAGCCTAGAAGTAAAACTTGGGGGCCGCTGCAGCCTCCAGCTATATTGGTTCTGGTTCAAGCACCACACTTGCCCATAGTTCTGGTGGTGGAACAAGTCTTCTCGGATAACTATAAACCGTAAGCCAGTTTACACTAAGTGGCTCATGTGCACTTTAAGAACCCAGGACATCTTTTGAGATGATTCTTAGGCGGTTACCCTGGTGTGCAGGTCCATACAGGAAATAATGTGTACAGACAAGAGTAGCTGGCATATATATTTAACAGGTAGCTCTGGCACAAGATGAAGTTAGCGTCCAAGCTAGAGTAGTCTATGTCTTGAGCACTTTGAGACTTCTGTGAAACATGCTACAACAATACGTATCTTTCCATATTTAATAATATGTCATTTGTATTTTTTTCACTAGTAATGTTTTGAGTTTTTATTATTTTGATGATTTGTTATGTATTCATAGGTATCCGGGAACTAAATCTAATGAAAACTATGTTATGCATGTTTACAAATATATCCATCATATTTTCTACCTTTTATTTTTTGCATCTTACTTTCACTTTTAAATGTACGCATCTTATTTCCTTTTATATATGTCCTAAAGTAATGAGTGTTTGGAGTTAGCCTGGGGAATTCATTAGACACTTGGACTACCGTATATAAAATTATGTTTTGCTTTGAATACAAGAAATAGTGTTCAATGCAAACACAGCAAAATATATCTAGCGCCATCTATGATACTGCTACAAGATGATGCATACAAATATAATTTCATTCTGATAATGCATGTGTATTTGTCACTAGAACACCTCTTTGGGATACTCCTATTCAGGAGACACTCCTATTAAGGGAACACTTTTCTGTGAAACGAGAATAAATTTTTAACACTACGGCCAACCCCTATTAAGGTGACAACCCTAGTAAGGGGATGGGGACACATTATATGTGTGCAAAATAGTCAAATTGATACAATTTAACTCCTATTAAGGGGCCACTTATTTTTTCTTATTGTATCAAAACAAATACAGTTGTCTCAAAATAAGAAACAATAAAATAAAGCAATAAACCTAACATCAAACCAGAATGTTTTCCATCAATCTTTAGAATGGAATTTGGATAGGCCTAGTGCATGTGTAAAAAGCTCAATATTTAAAAAAAGAGTATTTGGTCATTAACTTTGCACTCGAATCAAGAAATGATATTGGGAACATACAACTTTTTAGTTGTAATTTTATCATGTAGTTGTAGTTTTAATTATGTATCAGTTGATTTCATATCACAAATATTTTTTTGCAATGCATATATTGTTACAGGTTAGTTATAATTCAACTTTACCATAACTCATTCTTAGGTCAATTAATAATAAAATTATAAAGAATCTATAACATCATTGTACGAAAACATGCCAAAAACCACTATTAGGGACAATTTCATATTTTTGGTTAGTGTCCCCTATTCAGCCTTAGCGTGAGCCCTGACTGAACTCTGCAGAAACTTCACATGTTTTGATAGGTCAATTCGAACATCGCACAATATAATCTGGGTAGCAAGGTTACTGGCGATTGCTTTCTCTTCTATAAAACCTACAGGTAACGGTAAGGCTTAGCCTACTAAAATACAAGAAACATTGGGGTTTCCCCAACAAGAAAATTAATTAAATTTAGGCCTTTATTATAGACATTTCTTCGTAAACTGTCACCTAGCGTAGGCTAGCATTTTACTACCAGGCT